TAAGTAATGTCGAATATTTGGAAGTCTTAGGGCTTATCCTAGAATACACCCTATAATATATATATATATCCTGCAGTTAGCCTATATAAATCCGACACATTCGTCGCCTGTTTTTGGTACACATGTGAGCCTTGTTTTTCTGACTGATGTTTCATTTTTATTTTGGATATTGTTCTTGCCGTTGTTGTTTTTGGTCCGGGCCAGCCTTTTGTTTTGCTGGCCATAAAAATGTTCACAGTTTCTTGTTCAGCTGGCAAGGGGGCGTGGCAGGGCCAGAATGCCGGTGGAATGCCTCATGTGGCTGGGCGCACGACAACAACAGCGCTGAAATTTGAGTGGCCACCACAGAGCGAAAGGGGTGCGAAAAGGGAGCTAAAAAGGGAGCGAAAGCTGCAAACAGAGACGGAAATAGTGGAATTTGGCACGCCAATACAATAACAAATTAAAGGCACAAAGGATTTAGCGTGTGGCATGGCTTAGATCCTGCGGTTGACCCGCACGCTCCCACTGGAAGAAATCATAGCATACTCGTGGGGGTATTCGATTTTTGGGATAACCTGGTCGCGGTGGCTCATGTCGCTGTTTCGAAACTACAGTTCTTTGTTCGACAAAACACGTGTTTAAAATACAAATTATTGTAATAATTAAAACCTTAAAAGGCACCAAAGGGATTATGAAATGGCCATTTTTATCCTGGAATAATAGTAAAAAGCTTTAGCTTGTTAATACTATAGCCTTCATCCGATTTTGTAGTGAATGAAATTGTTTAATAACATAGGCAGTCGACTTATCATCAATCAAACTGATTTAAAACTGTTCTTTTTGCTGAACCCCTTTCAGTACTGCGATTGTTTCTCAGTGTGCGAGTGTGTGCGTGGAAATAGCGCGGAAAAGCGAGAAGAACAAGACTAAAAATGCAAATGGGAGGGGCAGGGAGATGAGAATGGAAATGGAAATGGCGGAGATGCAGGGCCAGGCAGAGGAAAGGAGCTAAGCCGTGAGCGCACATTACCAGCGATTACTCCGTTGGCGTTTACCGTTAACGTTACCGTTACCGTTAGTTGCTGCTCGAAACAAGCTCTTGCGGATGCGAATGCGGGTGCGGATAGGAACATTGTTTTAAGCTCACCAAGGCCTAAAAGTTGCCTTCCATGCATCTTAACTACAGCTTCGATTGGCTTTCCCAGGTGATATTTTCAGAAGAAATCGAAATTTAAATGTGAAAATCAATCGCTTTTCTAGCAGTGCAGCTAAGCAGCAGAGTGTAAATGCAGTACTCACGGGAGCGTAGCAAAATCGGCGGGGCGGATAAAGTTCGACTAAAGACTTCGGTAAAGTTAACCAACAATCGAAAGCGAACTGCCGATTAAGTGATTAAGTTAGCAAGTTCTCTAAACCATCCAATTAAGCGCCCGTCAACTGGCCTGCCTGATTGATTGATTGACGGACCTGCGTTGCGACAGGTGCGATGAAGGATGGCTTTTAACCAGGCCCTTTTCAGGCCCTCCAGCCATCCAAGTTGGCAACAGGTGGCAACAGGTAAAGTGGATCAGCTGGGTGGCTGAGCTGAATGTAACACGCAATGGCACCTGCTATGCTAATAGTCCACGCATTAATTCGCTTACTCATTGAGAACCCTACATCGCTTTTCCACCCGCCACCGCCAGTTTTCCCCGCGGCATTGTGTTTTCCCGTCTTCGCGGCTGCACTACACAAAATCTCACTCAAGCTCACACCTGCTTGGCGGCTTTGGGATTGTCGCTGGCTGTTCGGGAGCGTTAAATGCAATAAATTGCATAAAACTTTGAACCTTTCAGGGCGGCACTTCCAGCAGAGATGACGGCGTGACACGACAAAGAACGTCTTTCTACAGTAATATATATATAAGTTGGAAGTTTCGGTTATATTGGATGGGAACAGCCCATCAGTCACGACCCAAGCGCTTCACATCAGCACGGACTCAAGCTCATCTCTAATTCACACCCAATAACTCGCTGGAAACAGAGGAAAGCGCTGCAAAAGGTTGGAGGACGGGGGAACGTAAACTTTAAGCACCAATGAGGGACATTACATTATTGAGTTGGCAATGGCCGTCGATAGTTTGTGGTGGAATGGTAGGGCCAAAGGTGGCGAAACGGGGGAAACTCGGGGCAAGTGCTGATGGATATGGAAGTGCAGGTGGTGGGTTCGTGGCTTGGCATCCTGGCTCCTGCGGTGCAGAGCCTGGGCATTAGTTTGACATTTACTTGGGCACGTCGTTAGCAGGCGAGGCGAGTGCCACATGCACCCACCCAGGAGTGTGTGTTCCCACCACACTGATAGAAATTCTAATGGCCATCACTGTACTCTCCAATAATAGCATAAGAAGGGTGATTATTTGTATATTTTTATAGCCAACAAGTTAACCCTTCACTGCATTGCCGCCTACAGATAAGTACTGCACATTATTGATTGATTACACAAGCAGGAGTGGTCCCTGCCATCGCTTTATGCCCGTTTACGATTGTCTTCGATTCAAAGGCTAAGCTACTTTGATCCTATTGGGAACTGAGCCCTGTAAATTTCGTTCAGTGTACGCAGGGACCGTGTGTGTGCGTAAGCGGCACTCTAATGCTCTTGTCATGGCTCGGCAATTCAAATAGTTGAAATTGTTTGAGCTTGATTTAGGCAGACACACCTCAACACACACACTCATACACACACTCACTCAGACACACCGCACACCTTGGACACAGCGTCAAGTTATTTGAAGCACTTTAGCCGTCACCCCACAGAACACCGCCCATCACGCACCCCTGAAATCAGCCACCGAAAGCAGCCCTTTCGCACTCTCTCATAATGTTTCCCCAGCCAGACCGAAAGCACAACAAATTAAGCCTTTTAACAAACACAAGCAAAAGTCCAATTTGTTGCCAAGTTGTGACGCTGTCCAAAGCAAAGCCGTTAACTACGGCAATACACAGGGAGAAGAAATGTTCTCGGAACTTCTATGTATCCGGAAAAGGTACATCCAAACAGAAACTATATCCGTATTGCCTTTGCAAGCCTCACAGGGAATTTCTTTTTGTGCACCACCCACTCGGAGCCCACCTCTCACCCATTTGACACCTTGTGCCCTGATTGTCGGAGGCGAAAAACTTTAGGTGCCCGCCTTGCCTGCTTCTGTTTGACTTAGATAATAGCGCAAAGATATTTGCGTACACCCCCGGACCACAGTCCTCACGAATCTGCTTCGGCTTTTAATATCCGCGACTGCTGCTGAGGGGCTAAGGGGCTGAGGGGGTGGAGCTGATGAAATTAAACAAATTGTAGCGTGGAAAAATTTGAGTCTTGGCTAGATTTCGTCATGTCTTTTATGGCTACTGGGCATCGTCATGGCACGAACCTCCCGGCCAAACAGTGGGCGGAGTTCCCCAGAAAAGTGCTCAGAAGCAGGCGATGCGGTTAATGGGAGGGCCAAGGGTTAGGGCCACAGTTGGTGGAGAAGGGCCACGCTTTCACTTTGAATGAATGCCTTCTTTTATGCGTTTAAACACTGCCTTGCTCGGTAAATTCTTGTTTATCTTAATTAAATTGTAGCAAGAACCAAGCATGAATCATTTTGTGCATGTGCAAGATACTCGGGATTTCGCAAAAACCCCAAAGGAATGTTCCTGGCAAGGGGCATTTGAGTTTCACGTACAGTACAGTAATTACCAGATTGAAAATCCCAAAAAGAAGTAGTAATAGAATAGAATAGAGAAGTATAGCTCAGCATTACACAACACTAAAACGCTAGTTGATCCTTTAAGTTACACATTAAGCCCACGCCGGGGACTAGACTAAGCCCGTCCTAATTACTCGCTTCGCTCTAGATTATTCCGCTTAAAGGCCGCTTAATTACTATCAAATCCTGAATTATGCCACACAAGACCCCACGAGCCCCCACAGTGGCGGCCAGATTTGGTGAAAACAAATCGCAGCACACGCCGAAAACGAAGACAGACCCCAGCACTAAGCTTCTACATGAGTAATCGTAATCCCGAAAAGTTTTGCAGGGAAACCAACTCATAACCCGTAATCATCGCAATTAGTTTAGCCCGATGACGACGCAACGGTTGCCAAGCCGGCAACTGGAAAGTGCAAATGGTAATGGAAATGGAAATGGAAACAGAGAGCCCACGCAAATCAGAGAACTGCTGCCGTGTCGTCATAGGAGCCGCAATCAAAACAGGTGCGAAGCGGAAACTCCCAAATGGCGACTATGGAATACCATTTTAAGGCCAATAATTATATAATATTTTAGAATGAGTTAAGAACCTTACAAACCTTACAAAGACTTGTGGAAAACTTTCACTTTTCCAACTTCTTTTCGTTTCCTATAAGACTCCCCCCTTCTTCTATGATCAAGCCATCCAAGGAAAGGATATACCCCGAGAGGTACACATTAAAGAGTAACAACAAATCTATAAGCCGAATCACGGCGGCCATAAAGCCTCCCGTTCGCGTGGACAGTCGCAGGGGGAGTGATCACAGCACATATACGACGAGGGGCCAGATACCGTTGATGATGCGGATGATGGGGAACCCATAAACCGCTGAATAAACAGGGAGGCGTTTAATTGTTTTCATGCCTGGCCAGAGCTGTAGGGAGCTGATGGATTACGGGGGCAGTTTACTGAAAAGTGCTCTTGAGCCCTAGGGAAATCCTAGTTACGTTTCTAATCCTTAGGCGATAGATTATACTAACTCGCTTGGTAAAGAGCAGAAACACAACATTAAACTATTATTTTTAAATAACTAATTCTACTTAAACTGCTGTCATTCATTTTACTTGATGACTATTTAAAGCTTTCTTTGTAGGGTAATCCCTAGTCGTTAGCTAATCGTAATTGGCCACAGCATCGCTTTGTTTTCTCGCCTATTGTCAAACAGAGATGACTTGAGGCCCCAGCTCCGCCTAGAAGATATAACGTATCCGCCCGACGCTTCAAGTTCAGTTAGCAGGGGCGATCCAAGCACTGAACACGATGAGTGAACCCACAGAATCCGGCGATTCCAAGCTGCCAAAGATTGCGAAACAGCCAGAAGATCCTCCCCAGAAAGATGCAGCGGCGGATTTCGAGACCGCGATCGACGAAGCTGGCTTCGGGATGTTTAACATCCTCCTATTGGTGGCCGCCGTTCCAGCGGCTATGGGCACCGTCTACGAGACCTCCACCATGTCCTACATCCTGCCCAGCGCCGAGTGTGATCTTCAGCTGAGTCTCCTAGACAAGGGCATCCTGAACGCCATCACCTATGCGGGCATGATCAGTTCGGCGGTGATGTGGGGCTACTTGGCCGACACGAAGGGCAGGAAGAATCTCCTCATTCTGGGCTATGCCGCCGACACCATATGCGTATTGGGCGGGGCATTCAGTCAGAACAGAATCCAGTTGATGATATTCAAGTGCTTGGGAGGCTTCTGGTGAGTTGCTATTTAATTACTGATATCAGTGACCAGCCTCCAGCATCTCTCACTCTGTGATTATTATGACACAGTATGAGTGGCCCCTTTGCCGTGCTGATGACTTATCTGACGGAACTCCATGGCCGGAAGCACCGCCAGCGTATCATGATGATGGTGGGCATCATGTTCTCCATTGCAACGCTCACGCTGCCCGGACTGGCCATGCTGATTTTGCCCCAAACGTGGAACCTTCATATCTGGACATTGACGCGTAAGTGCCGAGGGCGTGTTACGCGTTTACCTGAGATAATGTCAGCGATAAGCGACGTGAACTGATAACCGGATAAGCTACCAGGGAACAGCTGATGATACCGGAGGCTCCATCCCTATGGGGCTATCTATACAATGTTTTAAAGATTCCATCAGGTGGCACTTAAGTAGTTGTCTAGCAGAACCATAACAACAAACGACTGATGCCATAACCGATCTTATCGTTTTACGATATAAGCACAAGTTTATGGAGCGGAGAAATGCATAACGACTTGAACTTATATGGAAAGTTATCAAGATGCTTTCTGATTCTACGATATTTTCATAGCAACTAAAGGTTTTCCAACAAAAAACCTTCTTATTTCAGTGACATCCTGGCAAGTTTTCGTGGCCATCACCGCACTGCCCAGCCTGCTTAGCTTCCTGCTCTTCTTTTTCTTCCCGGAGAGCCCCAAGTTCCTCATGTCCAAGGGGCGCAATGAAGAGGCCATGAAAGCCTTCCAGTTCATTTACCATCTTAACTCGCGAAAACCCAAGGATTCGTTTCCAGTGAGTGGCAGAGATTCTTAGTCTTGACCGACTGATCAAAATGATCAACCTTTTCATTTTCAAACAGATCAAACTACTGGCCAATGAAGTAATCGTCCCAGAAAAGAAACACAAGAAGGAAACTACAGTTCAGGTTGAGGTTAAGGTGCCCATCGAGGGTGGTGAAGTTCAGGATCCAGAGGGTCAGAAATCCAAGAAGAGCTCCCTAAGTGCGGGTCTCACTCAGCTCCGTCCACTCTTCACCAAGCCCTACTTGAGCCTTTCGCTTTGGGTGTACCTTCTGAACTTTTGCGTTCTCCTGGGGTAAGTACTGGACTTTTCGGCATATATCAACATCATCAATTGTGATTTATAGGCAGAACACAATGCGATTGTGGCTGCCGCAGCTGTTTGCATCGATCAACGAGTACGAACAGCTGATGAGCGGGCAATCGGAGTCGACGAGCATCTGCAAAATCCTGGAGTACAGTGTCAATCGTACCCAAAGCCAACTGGAAGCAGCCACCCAGAATGATCCCAAGACTGAGTGCTCTGTGAACATAACAGCCTCTACCTATACCAACAATCTGATTGTGGCCGCTGCTGGTTTGGTGGCCTACATGCTAGCTGGTTTTCTGGTTAATCTGGTTGGCATCAAGCGCATCATGAGTGAGTTCTAGGCTTTAAGACAAGGATCAACACAATCAATCTTAATTTATCGAACTTCAGCATTGGGACTCTTCATGGCGGGATGCTGCTCCATTGGGATGTACTGGTCCAGTTCAGCGGTGTGGACCGTGGCCATTGCTTCTCTGTTTGTCACCATGGGCAGCATATCGGCCACTTCGGTGATCAGTGCCTCTGTCAATCTCTTTCCCACCTCGCTCAGGTGAGTTTTCAATTACTTAACTTGACTGAGTTCAGTCATTGATCAATACTATAATCCCTCTAGGACGATGATTGTCTCGCTGGAAATGATGTTCGGTCGCCTGGGTTCCCTGCTGGGCAACATCTTCTTCCCTGCTTTGATGGGACTGGGCTGTGTGCCGCCGTTCCTCATGATCAGTTTCTTTATGTTCGGTAAGTGCCTCGAATCGTACTCCATCCGAAGAGCTTCCTCATAATCCTTGCCTCCCTTTGCACAGCTGGCTGCCTGATGGCCGCCTTTCTGCCGCTCAAGAACAAGGCCGCCTTGAAATAAGTTCCTCATGGATTGGACACTATCCAACTCGGTTCCGCTGCTGTACATAGTGTATTTAACTTAGTTCTTAGTTTACTTTTAAGTGTCTCTCCTCGCAGTTTCTATTTTAAACTGAAATTCAATCAACATCAAGGGTATTCTTAGCTTCGGCCCGTCGAAGCCGCCTTCCTTCCTGCCTTCCTAAATTTTCAATTATTTTTTTGTTTTTTTTTTCTTGTTTTGTCCTTTTACTTTGGTTTAATTGAAAGTTAATTTATTTTAGATTGCAAGTTCCTAGGATTAAGCAATTTGTATGCAATGCCAGTTCGCTTGTCAATTACACGAATTCCTCTCCATCAATTTCCATAAACCGCTGGCACTTATCAATGCGTTCTTGAGTTGGGCGGACGCCTTGGGTTCTCTGTGCTTCGTGCTCTGTGCTCTGTGCTCTGTATTCTGATGTCCTGCCACTGACTTGCCGTTAAAAGTGACTGCACAGGAAGTCAAGCGAGAAATGCGGGCGGTAATTCGAGCAACTGGCAGTCCGGACTTATCACATTAGTAGGACACTGAAACATTGTGACACTCCGCCCGGGATTGGACCCAAGCTGACTCGAGAGCCCAGAGAAGTGTGGCTGGAGAGTCCTTCATTTACCGATGGCGAAAAGAGAGTCCAACGACTCGACTAATTCACACAAACGAACTGTGTTAGTAATTAAGACGATTGAACCAGTAATAGACGCTTTGGCCAATTTGAAAATCAATATTTTCGCCCTGAATTCAGGCATCTATGCACTTAAATGCAATTTGAACTTAAATCACCATTTCAGTGCAAATGATAAGCAGTTTAAGAAATAATATACAGTCGCCTGTGGGCCTGCATTGCCTTGCCATTTTAATTAATTAATCCACTCAGTCATAGATTTTGAGTAATTGCCGAGTCAGAGAGAATCGCTTAACAAGAAAAACGATTAGAGCAAAATACCCCATCAAAAGCACAAACCTTTTCGGCCCGAATCGTACATGAATACAGTGAGCCATCCTTAAGTCAGACACAGACGACAGCCCCGGGCAAAAGGGATATGAAATGGGCAGCAAACGGGACTGGTCTCTATCTTGAATCTCACACCTAAATGTATCCCCGGGCAGATGGTTGTCTTAACTACTGGACCTCCACTGTACTATAAGCGCTCCCAATGTCCTCCAACTGGAGATGCCTAGCGCCTTATCTTCGCCAGGAGGCGTTGATATACGAGCGCGCACTCAAGCCAAATGGAAATGCTAATTATCTGACAACGGAGGCGCTCCACTCGAAGTTTTGGGGCGGCGGGGGGCGTTATGGAGGTTCTATGGGTTTCGGAGGCCCGTCTTCTAGGCGATATGCTACGATTTCACAAATGCTTGAAATCAGACAAGGCCCACGGAAAGTTTTAATTAAAAACTTTCGGCTCTGACTTTTAAAACCCGAGTCGAGGCGGCTGCTAATGCGATGCTAGAGCATCGATAAAGACCCTCGGACACCCAAGGTGAACCTCTACAGGTTGTTTTTCCGGAGAGCAAGTAACGATTTACGTCACGCCCACACTGCGAACAACATTGGACGACTTCTGACAAACTAAATTAAAGAATCAAAAACGTTTACGAAGCATAAAACTATGATTGGGAGTTCTTAGAACATGGAAGCGATAATGTTTAGAATATTATACCTCAACAGCAATAGATTCCACCCTAACTGCATGTTTTTAAAATTGTTTTTTGGTAACTAGAAACCAAATCTTGAAGTTTTTAAACACGCAAGACCATAAACCTCTTCTTCTAGTTAAACGAAGATAAACAAATACCATTTAGCTAGAAGTAAATCACGCCCTCAATAAAAACTACTCTCTGTGCTCAGGCACTTCGTGGATTCCATTCGGAATGATAACACTTTTTTGGAGTGCAGGAGTGTAATCTTATCGGCTGCGAGAGAGCACGTCCATAAATTCCGTTTGCAGGCGAATTCCGGCATCAGTGGTTCATGATGAGTCTCAGCGACAAGGTGGTGATCGTGACGGGAGCTAGCAGCGGCATTGGTGCCGCCATAGCCCAGGTGTTGGCACGCGAAGGTGCCACCTTGGCGCTGGTGGGACGCAATGTGGCCAATCTGGAGGCCACCAAGGAGAACTTGAAGGGAGCACAGGCGGAGATTGTGGTGGCCGATGTGACCAAGGATGCGGATGCTATTGTTAAGCAGACTTTGGCCAAGTTTGGACGCATCGATGTGCTTGTGAATAACGCCGGCATTCTGGGCAAGGGTGGCCTCATCGATCTGGACATCGAGGAGTTCGATTCGGTGCTGAATACCAATCTCCGTGGTGTTATCCTGCTGACCAAAGCCGTGCTCCCGCATCTCCTGAAGACCAAGGGAGCCGTGGTCAATGTGAGCAGCTGTGCTGGCATTCGTCCCTTCGCCGGAGCCCTGAGCTACGGAGTTTCCAAGGCCGCCCTCGATCATTTCACCAAGATCGTGGCCCTCGAAATGGCCCCGCAGGGTGTGCGCGTGAACTCCGTGAATCCTGGCTTTGTGGTGACCAACATCCATCGCAGCATCGGAATTGTCGACGAGGAATACCAAGGAGTGCTCCAGCGTGCCATCCAGTCGCATCCCATGGGCCGTGTGGGAGAAGTCACCGAAGTCGCCGAGGCCGTGGCCTTTTTGGCTAGCTCCAATGCCAGTTTCACCACCGGCGCCCTTCTGCCCATCGATGGTGGCAAGAACAATCTGACGCCTCGTTAAGTCTGCGCCCCGTAATTACCTTTTCCTCCACTTCCCCTTCTTCTTTTTTTTTTTGTAATAAATAAGACGAAACCACACAGAACAAAATCTGTTTCCACGAAAGAAAAAGGGAAAAGGGTGACCCTTGAGTGGGAAATCCCAGTTCTGGCTATCATATCTATTGATATATATACTTATTTCGGGGCCTGATTACACTTGTTTGCGGGGGTGACCCCAAAATGACCGCCATGGTTGCTGTGTCAGACACTTGACAGACTTATCGGGCCCATCATCAGCCAGCTGGTGATAAGGTGCCTTGTCAGCGACAGGAGGACCAGACCGCAGAGCTGTTTGCTGCGGTTTAATCTGCGCCAGCTTCTTATCAGGAAGCACTCGAAAAAACCTGGGGACTTTACTATTTGCAGGTGTGCAGGGGGTACCGCGTGTTCCCCCACAGCGAACGGCGGACAGCGGGGACCGCTTCACACACTGGTAATGTAGGTCATAATTGTCATTGATTCGTGATTCCCCGCCCCTCAAAAGTGTAAACAATTGGGGATATTGGGACAGCTTTGGGACGAGCTTTAAGGGGATTGGTGAGAATCTCCAAAGCTCGGCCAAAGGAAGTTTTTAAAGCTTTTTAAACCTTTCTAGGCAATAAGGATAATGTTTTCTGAGGATTTACACATTCTGGGATATCTATTGGACCCAACTGAAATCTACTATTACTGTCTTGGCTAACATTTTCATTCAAAAATATAACCAAAAGATCCTTAAACTGCCTTAAATGTTAAGAATCTATCCAAGATCCAAACTTAATAAACAAATCACCCCAACAAGTTGTAAACTTTGAAATGACATCTAAACTTTCCCTCATGAATTTGTGTTAGATTTTGGAGAAAAAAGAAAGTGTTTAGCCATTCAAACAACAGTTAAAGCCCTAAAGGAAAAAGCTTAAATAGACTTTTTCCCATCACAGGGACAGTAGAACCTCATTAGCTTAAACACTAACCATTTTTGCAACGAAAGTAGCTTAAGTTCTGAATGGGAACACAAGTCTAAAGCACTATTTTTAGTAAGTAAGGATAGCAACCCGTTATAGAACTTTTTAAATAGAACTCAAAGCTTCAGTTTCACCCCCAAACAGCCGGGAAACCCCAATGAGAAAAGCCTTCCTTTGGCGAAACTTAGGGAGAAACTGGTAGTGCGTCAGACACCGTGGCCGCGCGCTCATCGTATCAACAGCACATCCCCTTGGCATCCAAAATTCTCGAAAGCTAGCGACAGAAAGAGCAGGAGAGAGCAAGGGAGCTGGGCCAGCTGGCACAGAAAGCAGAACAGAACAAGCCACCGATTGATTTTTCTCGAGCATTGGAAACGCGGAAAAACTGAGGAAATCAAACGACGCAGGGTAAACCAATCCCCTGCAGCATTTCCATATGGAAATGAAAATGGCGGAGGCGCAGAAGTCCAAGGACTCCTCCTCTGCAAGCGAAGACCAGCTGCCAGCTGGCTCTGTTCTTGCTGAGGACGAGGAAGAGGAAGTGGAAGTGGAGGTCGAGCAGGAGCAGGAGCAGCAGGAACTGCTCAGCGAACGATGGTCTCCGCTAGGAGCCAACTACGACGATGCGAATAGCGCCAGTTCTGGCGTGGATTGTGAACTGGAACCAGGGCCTGATAAATCAGAAACGCGACGTGGAAGCAGTACTGGCAGCGAACTGGCCCGTCTGCGTAGCATTGAGGAGGAGCAGGAGCTGCTCACCAGTTCCCTGCTGGCGTTGACCTCTCACTTTGCCCACGTCCAACTACGAGTTCGCCAAATAGTGGAGGCACCAGCGGAGGAGCGGGATCAACTGCTACGCGACCTTGATGACTTTGCCTTCCAGGGTATTCCGGAGGCAGTGCAGTCCAAGGAGCCCCATTCGGACACGGACTCCAATGACCGCGAAAAGGAATCTAGTGCCGATAGCCAGCTTATAGAGCAGCTGAAATCCCAGCTCACTGAACTGGAGCAAATAGCCTACGAGGCTGGAGAACCTGGCATTCTACCACAACACGTCATGCTCGAGAAGCAGAAGTTTATACTGGACGAGCTGCGCTCCAAACTCAATCTCCAGGTGGAGCAACATGAACTACCGTCACTCAGTACGGAGCAGCTGCGCCACCAGGTTGACAATGCTATCGGTGAGTTCGTGGGCCCACTGAAGATGAAGGAGCAACTGGTGGCCCAACTAAAGACCCAGATTACCGACCTGGAGCGCTTCATTGCCTTTCTGCAGTGCGATGCGGTGGAGGGATCCGTTGGGGATCGATTGAAACTCCTATCAGGAGCCTACAACAGCTATGCGGCCAAACAGACAGCCCGGAGTTCGCTGGCAGCCTCAATTGCCCCAGCTCCTGGCATAGCCAACGCTCCTGCCACGTCAACAGCTGCACCCCCAGCCTCCGGACTGGGCCCCCATTCCCCCGGGGAGAGCTTGCACAGCAAGGCACACGGACTGCTGGACAAGGCTTCGATGCTCATGCAAATGTTCGCCAGCACGCATCTGGCAAAGCCCCGAAGCCACGACGAGTTTCAGCAAAACTCGCTCAAGAAGACGCACAAGGGCAACCACTGGGGGTAAGATCGACGGGCTCTAGACCTTATTCTAGGCCTGTCTTAGAACTTAGTAATACCTTAACTTAATTAATACCTTAAGCTACGACCAAGCTATCAAATGATACGAACCAAATCGAAGTTCATGGAATCCCAAAGAAGTTTGTTCAAATAATTCAACCGTCTTACGGTCGCTTTGAACTTTTACTTCCTCAATATAATTAATTACTCTATAGTTAGCATCCCAGATGGATTCCTTCTAACGATTTGCCAGAAGGAATCTATGCTTTAAGGGATTCTGCTATTTCCAAAAGAAGTTTGTGTACAGAAACACAGCCACTTGTATGACATATTAATATTCGATTTAAACTTATTCGCTAGGGAAAGGTGCTGCAAGTCTTTCAGCCAACAGAATTGATTCCATGAATTGGTAAACTTCGCCCTAATCTTTAAGGGTTATATAGTCCTATTACCATCACCAGAGCAATAAACACCAACCTGATTTTATCCTTACTCCATTCTAGAGATCTGCGTGCCCAGTTGGAGGTGGACATTCAGGAGGTGGCTGCACTGGCCGCCACTTTGAGTTGCGATCGTGAGAAGTTGGCCAATATCAAGCGGGCTCTGCGTCAGCAGCAGCAACAGCAGCAACAGGCGGATATCACCTCTTCCTCCGCCGCTGGTCATCCAGTTATCAATGCCCAAAACGGAGCACTGACCACCTTGTCCCCCCGTTGCCGACGAGCAGTGCCAACTGGCCACGAACTGGCTCCATATGCTGCCGGAGGAGCCATATCCTCCGACTCCGACGAAGACATTAGCTATTCCAACTTTGAATGGGAGAAGGAGGGCAAGAGCCGACGAACTGCCCATATGCGAGGCGACTCTATAGCCACCATTGGCAGGGAATTGACCACGGTGGTCCGAAAGAACTTTGCCCGTACGCTGCAACAGCTTATCCAACATGGACTCCGCATCCCAGCAGAATCGGCGGCCTCCAGTTTGATGGTCCCCTTTTTAAGATGCCTGCATCCCGGGCCGCCGAAAGTCCCGCTGGCAGCTGGCGAGGAGTCGCAGTTCCTCGGCTTCGGCAGGGCCATGCACGCCTGGGAGTTGGTACTGGCTTACTACAGATTGAAGCACGGCGAGGAGTACAACAACACGCCCGCCAGAAAGTTGTCCCAGAGCTTCCAGCTGGACATTGTAGACGCCCAGGCGGTGACAGCCAAACAGAGTTTGCTCAGCGCCGTGGGCATGATCTTGGCCATGCATCGCCCCTACAAACGAAGCAACAACGCCCACTTCAAGGCATTCGTCTGCGCCGGACTCAAGTGAGTATTTTGCCAGACCTAGATGCAGAGACGTTGAAACGAAGTTAGATAATGATTTATGATTTACAATCCCAACATTATACAATACCATTTTTATAAATGCATCATTCAAGGCATTGCTCTAATTTATATTTGAGTCTTCAAGGCTTCTTGACTTGAATCTGCCTTTCCAGGGATAAATAATATATCTCACTTAGCTTTTAAACCAATAAATTATTGTTTGCTTAAATCAATTAATCATTAAAAGTATTCTTAAAACTCTTGCTCAGCTTACGAGCATTTAAGTGAAGTATTAATTTTAATATTAAATAAGACAAGACCAGCTTTTATGCTAAAATGACTGTTTTAAGATGAAGTTAGGTGAAGTTAATGATTATGACTTAGTTCGATTGCAGTCTTAACTCAAATGTAATGACTAACTTGCCAAGAGTTGGCTAAAGCTTATAGTTTTGGTAATGTAGTTAAGTTATACCCCTTAATTAGTCCCCAAATGATCTTACTTCTTACGCCGAAACTGCTTTTCTCTTCCTTCGAACAGCTCCCATCTGCTGGTGGAGTGGCTGAATCTGATCCTCAGCTGTCACGAACTGGTGGACACGTACTACACGGTGAACAGCTATGTGGCTCGCACGGGATTCCGGGACTCGCTGCGCTCCATCGACGCTCTGTCCCGATTCGACTTCGACCTGCCGGTGGACCTGGCCATTCGACATTTCCGCAACATCTAAACGGCTGACTTGTACATTTTTTGGCTTAGACTAGATCAACTATTCAATGTCCAACGGGGAATTTAGTCCAACTCGTATTCTCTCTCTCACTTAATGTATAAACTCGTGTATATAACTTTAGATATGTCCCATTAAATCAATTGCTAATCCTAACGAAAGTGCGTCGTGTAGAACTCGTGCAGGCACTGGCTGATCTTGTCGCCCAGCGGTCGCTCCAGAGGTCCACAGCGAATGCTACCGAGAAGTAGCCTGGCCTCCTTTGGCTCCGCACAATTCTCGTAGGCCTCTAGCAGGCAGCGAGGTGTTGGATATCGCTCCACAATAGCCATGGCTCGCTCGAGGGAGAGGGAATGCAGCTGCAGCAACTGTTGCACAAACACTTCCCGAACTGTAAGCTGGGCGTTCTTGGCGGAATCTTCATAGAGGGCACGAAACTTGAGCAATCCCAGCTTGGAATCCGTCAGTAGGCAACAGGACTTGTCGAGCGCCTCGCGATCCACACTGTGCAGCCGTTTGCTGCTGAAGATCTGATCCAGGGAGCGACTCATCCCAGCCAAATAGCTCATGGAGCGGTAGTGATTCTCTGTGCGCACCACCTGGACGCCACTTTGAACTTTGGCATTGGCCAGAGCTTGCTGCAGGGACTCCAGTGGCAGTCCCAGTTGCTCATTGTCTCCATAGTCCTCCACCAAGTAGATGATCTTCTTCAGGCCACTCTGCTGGAGCCGGTGCTTCTGTTCGTGGAAGCGACCATCACGTATGCTTGAAGCTAAGTCATCCATCCTCTTGCGCTCTATTATATAGGGTAACACCAGCTCATTGCCCTGTTTATCCTGGGCCACCCAAAGGAAGTCGCCGACGGTGAGGCGGCGCACTTCATAACGTACGCCCAAGGACTCCAGATAGCTTCCCGTTTGGTCCAGAACCCTTTTGTTTTTGCCACTGGTTTCCTGGGTGTCTACCAAAAGGATCAACTGGAAGGCACCTGGTTCCATTTCCACCACACGCTCCCGCTCCTCAACCGCTGCCATTTCCGATATAGCCTTTTTGGTGAGTTTCCTGGGTCTGTCCTTCTTGGTCTGTCGTTTTTGGTGCTCAAGTTGCTTTTCCTGCACCTGCCGGACGACCTCCTGAACCTGCTGCTCGTAGTGCTCGGTAACACCCGCCTCTTGTGGTGCCAATTGGAGGCGCCGGTACTGACGCAACTCCTCGTCGATCAACTGGCACAGAGTGCCACCGAATCCGCGTAGGATAGAGCAGTCCCGTCCACTGGACAACGGCAATGGATAGGATTTCAGCGATTCAAGAGCCTGGCGAAGATTAAACTGGGACTTGAGGTGACGCCGCTCCGCTTCCCGCAGCCAACGTTCCAGCCATCTTGTGAACAATGGATTCGGCTCCCGCAGACGCACTTCCAATCGAGTCTCCATAATTTAATCACTTTTATCATGCATTATATGCGCACTTTAAAAAAAAGAATTGGCCAAAAGTGAAATGACGCGCTAATTTCGCGCGCTTTTTTGTTAATAGCTTATGTAGAGATGGTAGGGCATCGATAGTAGTTGAATTCTACCTTTCCGATAGCTTTCTAGCGAATTTTACATGGGGTCGATAGTATTTAGCTTTATAGCTAAGATAGTGTGCGATACTGTATACCGATATGTATGTATTTTACATTCCCGATAGTTCTCTACTGGATTTTACACAGTCGATAGTATTCAGCTTTATAGCTAAACTTGTATTGTGGTAACCGAAATAATCGATATATCGAACTTAGCCCAGCTCTAAGGCTCATTGGTTTGTTTTATTTTGATTTTTAATTTTCGGCAGTTTAGGTGCCAAGCTTTAGAATCCGAATAATAGTGCATCTAAAATGTCTGCCGGAGTGGACGACCTCAAGATAGAGTCCCTTTCCCTCAGGGATGGTATTCAGGAGTCGCCCGTGTGCATAATTGTGCTGGGAATGGCCGGCAGCGGCAAAACCACGTTTACCCGGAGTCTAATTCAGCACGCGCAGGACAAGTTCAATCCGTACGTAGTCAACTTGGATCCGGCTTGCCGCGAAGTACCATATGCAACTCACGTGGACATAAGGGACACGGTTAACTACCGGGAGGTGATGAAGCAGTACCAATTGGGTCCGAATGGCGGCATTGTGACCGCCCTTAACATGTTCACCACAAAAATCGCTCAGTTTGCTGAGCTCGTGCGTCGCGCTGGTCAACGAGGACACAAGTGGTGTGTGATCGACACTCCAGGACAGATCGAGGTATTCACCTGGTCCGCTTCCGGGAGTATAATTACAGAGGGTCTGGCCACCTTGTTCCCCACCGTTGTAGTCTATGTTATGGATGTGGTGCGCAGCACCTGTCCCACTACCTTCATGTCGAACATGCTCTACGCCTGCTCTATCCTATACAAAACACGATTGCCCTTCCTGGTAGCGCTAAATAAGGTAAAGATTTTACAAGCCTTCCAGGATTCATAGCTAATCCTTTTTTGCCTAAACCAGATCGACCTGAAGGATTACAGCTTTGTACTGGACTGGATGACGGACTTTGAGATTTTCCAGGAGGCTCTGGAACAGGATAAGAGCTATGTAAGCAACCTCACACGCACTATGTCGCTCACGCTGGACACCTTCTACGAGAATCTAAGCACTTGCGGTGTTTCGGCCAAGACGGGTGTCGGTTTTGACCAGCTCCTGAAGAAGATACTAGACTGCGTGACCGAGTACGATCGGGATTTCAAGCCTGTGTACGAAAAGATGCGCCAAGAGCGGCTGGCCGAGCAGAACGCGGCTCCAAAAGCAGCCGACGAAGTTGAAGAAGCCGGCGTTGCCGTTCCTCTGGGATTGAATCTTGAGGTAAGGACAGTTTAAACAGTTTTTGTAACATATCTAATGCCTTTAAACGATTTAAGGACCCAGCCCCGATCTCCGGAAACGGCATATTCCTAATGGCCCCTGGTCTGGTGCCCCAAGCCGTCGACAGCGATGACGATGAGAACATGGAGATAGACACCAAGGGCGCCATGGAGGATCAGAACTTCCAGAGCTTCGTGCAGAATCACTTGACGGCCCAGCAGAACAAGCGGGACAAGCTGCAGCAAGCACAACCGCAGCCCTAAAGTGATATGGAATGGAAATTCCGTTAGAAAATCGGTTAAGAATGGTTCAAACTAATATAGATATTTTTTTAAAGCTACTTTGAGCTACTTTTCTATGTGGAAATCAAGGGCATCAGCAGCTTTTTTAAGTTTTCTTCTTTATTATTCACTTTAACAAGCAAAAACATTCAATATAGTGTGTGTGTTCTTCATTTTCCGTCGGATATCTGTTTTGTATATATGGACTTAATTTAGCTTTGCAAATTAGTGATAACATATACATGTGGAGGATATATCCCGTTCGTAAATGTAAATGCAAGCCTTATACTTTGCGTTACATATTTTTGTATATATATATATATATTATGTGTGTGTATATATGTTGAGCAAATCAATTTTGTGTTGCGAGTGCCGCGCCCGATATCTTATGCTATATAGTTGCTTCTCTGGATTTGTATTGTTTTTTTATTGGTTGTCGCTTTAAATATTACGCTTACAAAAATACAGATCATCTCAAATACTTGTCAATGCTTCACAGTTATACACAGTTTATATAGACATACAGTAGTCCCCCTGCTACGAACTCTATTCCCTCCTTGGTTTCACTGCCCCATCTGAATTTACTTCGCAAGCTTTTTGGGTGTCCTATGGCTAGAAACTGTACAGGATCCTGGCACAGGGATCCGGATTCAGATCCGTGGCCACACGTAAATGCATCCCGTAAAATTCTTGTGCTGGAATTCGAGTACAGTCCGCGCTCAATAAGTAGAAGCGATGCTTGCGCAAAAAAATATTCTCATTTCTGGACGTTTTCATTTGATTTGAGTGCGACCTCCTAGGGTTCACACGGAATTTAGGTCTGCCGACATCTTTAACTTATATATATCTTAAGATTTTCCAAATCAATTTCGTGGTACAGCGCGGTTCAGAGCAGCAAGGTGGACTAGAGAATTAGCTAATCGCTTTTTCGAGTAAAATTATGTTTAAAAAGCTCGCTTTTTCAAAAATATTCCAGATGTCAATGCATTTTCTATATCTTTACATGTACTTCGGTTTCCTTGCAGCCCTGAAACGCAATCCACAACTTAGATTCCAACTTTCTTTGTGATTAAGAAATGGAAATTTTTAGTCCGCCTATAATTCTTAATTCCCAACTCAAATTATCGAGCTAGCTCATGAATATTTTATATATGTAAATCTTTTTATGGATCGAGGAATAAGCTCACTCACACGCACACACACACACACACACTTTCAGACGCACACGCACAGATGCACACATTGGTTTTGGGAAGGGGAAAACAGAGACTTTCGGAAAACGAGTTTTCAAAGCAAGAGATATTTTTTGAAAAACTATAAAGATTAGCTCGCTTGTGTCGTGTTGTTGTTTCAGAAACAGTCTTCTTCATTTTTGGATTTTTTGTTTCATTTTCCGCTTGCTTTTTCATAGAAAGGGAAGAAGAAACATAACGGAGAAAGTTTTTGGGCTTCTTCGGTTTGACTGCGATTGGTGTCTAGCATATCAGCTTGGCTTATTGGATAGCGCTGAGATCCGATGTACATTCATACTATATAGTGTGGGACATTGTTAGCTTAAGTCTACGTCAATATGTACGTAAATACGTGTGTGTTTCAAAAACGGAAGTAGGCGATATCCCAGAGACTTTGGATCGCTTAAGCAGGCCGATAAACAAAAGCTGGAATCGAAGGAATAATCTTGAAATTAGACGACATTTATACGAGCTCCAATTAATCGTCGTCCGACATGTTGGTGGTGGTCAGCAAAGTGGCGTTGTCCTCGGCACCCTGCTCCTCGATGTCCTGAAAGAGTGTAAAAGCGAGTTGATCGTGAGAAATTGGAAGATAACATACAGAGGAATATTAAATAGCCCTAAAGTTCCCCAATAAAACTCTTTTGGAAACTGTTTTCTTATACAAAATATATATTTTCATATATTTAGCTTCGTTACACTCTCATATTCTGTTCATCATTCTCATTTTGTTTTTATAAAAAATAGTTTTACACGCAAATAGGACGATCGGAAATTGTCAAATCAATGCTTGGAAGTTTAACAATTTACTTATTAGAAGGAAGAACAATTAAAAAACACACGTTACGATAAGCTTTGTTTTTTTTTTTTACTTTTTGTTATATTTCGCTTTTTTTTGATTTTTTTGTGTATGTATAAAAATAAAAAAAAATTTCTTTTAATGATGTAAACTTAAAATGAAACAAACATTTAGGCTAAGAAATAGTTTCATTTTTGTGTCGAGGAAGTAAATGCAGCAGAAATGGTTGCAGTGGTAGTTTTGAGCTAAACGAGATTTACAAAAACAGGGAGCCCTGGATCGTAATCGTGGCTAGAAATCTCCTATATACTCTCTAGGCTCCTGTTCATGGTGCTGCTCTGTCTATCTATCATTCGTATTAGGTTGGAAGTGTGCGGAAGATTTTGTTGCTCTGTGTTGCGTGGCTTCTCACTTGAGCTTCTGCTTAATTGGACTGGGCGAAGTCTGGTCCGCTTCGGGCAGATCGCTCTCCTTCTTGCGCTTCACCTTGTCCTTGGGCGTCTTGGCGGGCTTTTTGGTTTGCAGCGCCAGCTTGGCCTCGCGCTTGGCCTCCTTCTTGGCCTCTCGCTTGGCGCGCAGTTGCTCCGTAATGAAGGAGAACACAAGGTATCCCTGCAGGGCAATCAGACCTCCCAAAGCTAGCAGGGATCTCACTCCACCAATGCCGTAGTACAGGGTAAGCACTCCAATCACAGACGTGGCGAAGCGGATCAGGAAGAAGACAGCATTGTTGACCACTCGCAGCTTGGCCAGACGCTCCTCGCGATCGAAGACGCCAATCAGTTGGAAGACGTGTGACAGCAGCTCGCTGAAGTAGTGCAGGGTTAACAAAACCAAAGCCAATCGCTGGAAGCTCAGTGTATAAGCCAGGACAATCAGGGTGAAACCACTGATCGAGTGCACGATCTTTGGCTGTTGCTCCTCCTTGGTCTTGATCTTCTGGAAGTACAGCTCCGGCAGCATGTGCAGATAGTAGGCCAGCTGCACCACAAAGTAAAACTTGTGCAGGAAGCTCATCGGGTGGTCGGGGAAGCCCTCCCAAAGCTGGGCCACCTGGCCGAGATATCCCTCCTTGAGCAGGACGTGGGCGCCCCAGGCGAACGACAGCAAATAGAAGGCCACCAGTTGGCCGGACTCATTGAAGCGGGCCAACTTAAACTTGGACAGATGCAGCTTTTTGCTGATCTTGTCCAGCACGAACTCCTGGATAATCGCATGCATAATAATGCAGGTCAGCGTGTAGAAGAATATCGCACAGTAGTCCTTGATACCAGCAATGTAGGTGTACGCCTTTCCATATGGCTGCTCCCTGCTGGGATCCTCGCCGCTGACATTATGATGCAGGGATATAAACGCGCTAGCGAAGGCCGCTGTGGATTCGTTCATTAGGCCAACCACGAAAACCATGGCCACGCAGGAGATGATGTCCGCATGGTTTTGGATCACGAACTCGTGGCTCAGGATCGGAGGATTCTTGTTGCTGGTCTTGCGACCGAGTCCAGGTTTAATTGCCATCTTTACGATTCAGTGGGTTCTGGAAAGGTATATCAGTTGGTTATTAACAATCCACTGGTCATATGCCTATTTTCAGTTTTGGTTTAACAACCTTACCCTGTTTGACACGTTCTGGGCTGCTAACTTTAAAACTTACAATATGTTTTTTCAATACTCGGCTTATTTATTCCAGTATACTATGATAGTACAAAAGTTCCCATGACATTGTCTTATTTTCTAAGATGCTGCGCTTTAAAAAGTGTGTCTAAAAGGATTTCTAAGTTTTTAAGGAACGGAATCACTTAATAGTACTACCTACTGTAAATTAATATATTACCCACAAGTGTGTGCTCTTAAACCTGTGCCTAATGTTTCCTACGACCACTCAATATATCCTTTTACCACTGATAACCACTGTGTTTAAGATGTTCCTATAACATATTTTGAATTTTTAACTCTTGTATTATTCACTACTTGTAGGTTTTCCTTTTAAATCCATTTCAATTCAAGCAATTTCCTTCCTTTACTGCTTTGTCCTGGCACCCTGAGGAATAGCTACCGTATCAATGATGCTCCTCCAACAACAAACACACAATTTGCCTTGTTGGCACTGCACACAGCCACGCACACACAACCAAGGCTGCGCGCTCCCACTCACACACCGACACGCACACACACACGCACAGATTGAAAGACTCCAAAAAAGACACTCTGGCCAAAAGGTTTTATGCCATTTGTACTCACAGGATTTGCCGTTATATTTTCCGTTTTGGCCAACTTTCCAGCCAACTGCTGATTTGCAACGTGAATTTGCTGACGTAGGCGTCTTGCGGCTGGGAGACACTAGCGGCTCCGATTCGGGTCGGATTCCAGAGTGGCCGTTTACAAATTATCTTAACAAACCAAAGCTTTTTTGTATTTGCTGTTTGTGTATTACGGTGGCAGAAGTATCGCGATGTTTCTTTAAAGTTAACTATCGGCTACGACCAGGGCTGCAACAATGTCTTTCTTGTTTAACTGGCTTGTTTCAGTTTTGTTTTTCACACTCTTTTAACCACTTTCACTTTTTAAGTCACTAAACTTTCACTGCGCGACAGTTCAGCCCTGGGCAAGGGCTGCAAAATCCAGGGCTAGGCACACGGATGGCGCGCAATTTAAAATATGAGGTTTTAAGAAGGATATATAAACATAATTTTGCACTTCATTTAATAAATACAAATAAATACATTGTAAAATGTTATTCATCACTGTTGTTAAGAACGAGGACGACAAACTAGCGCGCGCGATTTAAATCAAGTTATTAAAATAAATGGGCTCAAGGACATGCAACCCACCAGCCGCCACCCACCCAACCACCTTCTTCCGGTTCGTTGGTCAACCTAATTGCATTTTGTACTCACGTTACGATTCCGCTTACGGACGGAGGACACGATTGTGCGCTTGTTGCGTGCCACCAGGCAAACCGTTATGATCAAAATCACTCCGATGAGGGCGAAGCCCAGGAGAGCGGGCAGCAGCACGCTATCCTCGTCCTTGTAACCCTGCAACAGAATAGGGTATTAGTTATGCGGATAGGGAACTCGGAACTGGGTCAGCTGATACTCAAATTCTAATATAAAAAATAGGGAAATCTTGCGTTTTCCAATATCTGAATGTGGACCAAGTCTACTTTTATAGTAACCATGAGAATCAGATTACCCCAGATGCATGCATGTGCGACTTACGGTCCATTGGAAGTAGGTCGAGGGATCGATGTAGGCCCAGTGCGTCTTTATCCAGGCGCTGTTGCTCTTCTCATCATTCAGGCCAGTTCCCGATTCCGGAGACTTTTCCTCCGCGTCTGATTGTACTTGCATTCTGGAATTTTGGCCATCTCCGGTCTGGATTTGCGGCCCTTGGGCCTTGGCCAAAACTGGTGGCATTATGGGCTTCTTGGCGGCCGACTTGAGTAGGGGCACCTGGATGATTCGGGTGGTGATTGTGGTGGCTGCTGGCGAATACCGCGGAGTCGTCACTGGAGGGTTCCTTGTTGTGGTGGTTGTTGTAGTGGTTGTTGTTGCTGTGGGAGCTGGTGTGGTTGTTGTGGTGGTTGTGGTGGTGGTGGTAGTAGTGGTGCTGCTGCTAGTAGTCATGGTGGTGGTGCTACTGGTGGTATTAGAATTCGAATTGGTTTTGTTTAGGCGGATCACGAACTGCTCAATGCCATTCCGATTCACAATCTGGACATTTCTTCCCACATTCTGTTGGAGTAATGGAGATCCTGTGGGTAACATGGGACTACCAGGAGGAGCCTCTCCACCGCCCCTCGATCCGCTTCTTTGTGGGCTATGGATCAGGGCTGCCTTGGTTTTCAAGAACCATTCCGTGGGATTCGGCAGACACTCTGTGGATACCAGGAAGGGTATGAGCACGGCTCCAATGATCACGGTGCACACGAAAATTAAGCCCAAATAGGCGAAGAAGGAGCGCCGGCGTCGTTGGCCCTTGACCTTGACGGATCCGGAGGAAGAGGCGGATGAGCCGGAGGACGACGCTCCACCGCCGGCGGAACGTCCGGAGCCCGAAAGTTTCCCCTCAATTCGGAAGTCATCGTTCTGCGGCAGAATCGTGTACTGCAGACTGTTTTCCCCGTGTCTAATGGTCTTATACATTTTGTCCTTTTTCTTTTGGAGCGTCCTTGCTCTTCTGAAGCTTCCTGCCTATCGGAAGGTCCTCTATAGAACCTTCTTTATTAATACTGGTGAGTGTTTCCTTGTAGTGCGCTTTTTCTGGGGTTATCCTAAATGGATTATGTTGATTATCCTTTCTGGATTCTGATCATTAGTTTAACCCCAGTCAAATAATGAGAGCTCCTTCGACCTCCTGGCTTGTTCCTGGAAATATTCACTTTCTTTCACTTCTCTTTCTCCACCGCTGCCTCACCACCCCTTTGAGTGGTAAATACTTCATATTCGCTCACCTTTGCCTTTTCGCAGGTACCCCGAGTTAATAGCTCATAGTCCTTTTGCCACGATTATGCTGCAAGTCGTGTGCTTCCTCTTCTCGTCCTCTCCGTAAATTACTTTGCGTTTTGTTGTCGTCCTTCGGGAATATTGTTTTTGTTCCTGTTCCTGTTCCTGCTGCTGATGCTCCTTGCGCACTAAATTTTATGTTTTTATTGATTAAGCGTTTGTTGTTTTCTGGCGCAGGCGCAGTCCTCCAGTGTTGGTAAGTGCCATTACAAAGGACACTTTCAGTGTTGACAAGACGAGGCTGCGATTTGAATCGCTTTCGTCCTTAACTGGCCTTGTCTTTTCTAACAGGTCCTAAAGGTACCATATCATATACAAAATTGGTCAATAATGAATTTAAAAAAAATTAATGATTGGTCGTTAGCTGCACTAAACAGATCTTAACAACAGCTGGGACTTTGGTCCTATTTAAGCAGACTTGGCACCAGAAGATAACCTGCCATTCAGCTGGCTATCTAGAGATTGCTATCTACGGTTTTTAATAGATTGCGGACCTTGCTAATGGATCAATCAGAAATTGCGACCGCAGACAGATCCAGATTTACGAGCTAGTCATATACCGGCGGACGTAAGTTCCAACAATTCCCTCGATAAGCCGAAAAGGAGGGGCGGGGCAGAAAATAGGGGTTTAACAGAAGCTTATCGGGCTTTGATAAGCGGCGGCATAAGCATTTTCTGCGCACAATGTGCAGTGGGCTCTCAGTCACGTAAAGCAGGTCAAGCGGCCAACAACGTCTATCGGGATTCCAAGATTTCTCAATAGAGGATCAACGATTAATTTCGAAATTTTAATCTGTGATCTATATCCACCTCCTTTGTCAAATATCCAGGCTCAAGATATAAACATGGTTTTCCTTTTGATCATCGGTCTAATCCTGGGCATTCTAATGATCCTAGTGAGCGTGATAGTCAAGCTTTTGGGCCTGAAACCGCCATTGATCTTTGACAAATACCCTCTAAAAGGTATCTTCTATCGGGTCAAGTTTTGGCTCGCTTTATTGGTCCTCCGACGCCTAAGATACCGCATCTATCGAAGAAACGAGGAGTTACTCGGATCCGAGGAACATCTGGCAAAGATTGACAGACCCCAAGAGCTGAGCAATGATCCGAAGAGCTACGATGTGGTCAGCTTTATGGCTGCCAACAAAGAGGGCCAAAAACTGATGGTGAGTTTGGAGAGAAGAAGGCGTGGAGTCCTTAAGGCAGCTTTATACCTGTGGCTCCCGGGAAAAGGGCTCTTCAGCTCCCCGAATCTGCCCGATATGATATATTTCACAACCGAAGATGGAGAGGAGAGCAGCGAGTTCCAGGGAGGAGGTTTCCACCTCTACCAGGAGGAATCCATGAAAATGTGGAGGATCAAGTACAATGGTATGTTGAAGTGCCAGAGAGATGTGGTAGAGGAAGTGCTGGTGGACTTGGACCTTCGTTTCAAGAGCTCCTCCGCCGAGCACTTTGATTACAACAGGGATCTGAGCTCCTCCTTGATAGCCGACTCCATAGCCAGGGAGGCGTGGAATGAGAAGTTCTACAGCCTGTTGCGGAGTGTCAATCACATCGTGGAAAAGCGAACGCACTACGAACAGAATGGAGAACTGACTGGGAAAATCACATTCCAGGGTGATGATCTATCCCTGAAAATGCAAGGCTTCCGAGACCATAGTTTCGGTACCGAACGCTGTCTGAGCTCCATTAACCGCTACGTGTACTTCGCCTTGTTCATGGACGACGGCAGCAGCATGGTGGTGGGAAACCTCAGTCAGCCCTCCTTTTTCCTATCCTCCCTGAAGGTGGGCTACGTCTGCAGTCCATCCGGAAAGTATGAACCTTTGACTGGGAGCAACTTCGAGCTGTACTCGTACGGCGAAAAGGGAACTCCGCCGCAGCATCAGAACTTCATTGTGAGCACCAAGGAGAAGGAGTATCTCATCCAGATCCAAGTGGAGGCATCCGCTGTGCGGTATGTGGGCGGAGACTGGGAGTCAAAGGTGTTCAATCAATTCGTGGCCTGTACGGTGAACGGAGTTTCCGGCCAGGGACACGCCGAGTTCCTTTACCGCCACAAAGAAGGCAGACCGGAGGACATATCTTCTAGAGATCCCAGCTGGTACCGCAACATCAAGCGCTTCGAAAGAAGTCTGACTTTGCTGGAGGAGGAGGACGGAGATTTTATCTTCTAGGCGTAATTTTGTTTTTTTTTAGTTGTTAAGTTTAAGTAACAGGCCAGAAACTATAACAATTAGTTAATCAACTTGAAATATAATCGATCGATGTGAATTCATCTGAAGTGGCTTGATTTCTAAATCCAAACATTTTCCATTCAATCAATTCATTGATGGAATGCGGCAAACTAGAAGTGGAGCAAGTGAAGGCCACCGGGAGCAGCTGTAATCTAATGGACTCTGGACGATAAGAGAGATTAGCAAATCAGTTCGGGAGTTGGACCCCCGATGAAGAGTGGAGAGCGACGGAATTAGTCGACAATAAATTAGCATGCAGCTGGCGAGCGGAGAAATCGAGGAATCAGATTGGTCAAGTACTCCGGTTTTTCTCTCAATAAATAACGGCGTATCGGCCGTGGCTTTATGGGACCCAAAAGACAACGAGGCTAACTTATCGCTTGGTAAGCCCATAAAAACCCAAGATCAGGTGCCAAGTGGCCAGGTGTCACAGATAAGACCCGGATGGAATCGGAGGTATCTGTAATTCAATATACCAAAGCCCTATTACGGAGCAGAATATTATTTTCCTATTGAGTTCCGACCTGCCGCAATGTCAATTTATGGTTTGCCGATAACTCCCCGGCGGTATGTCCCGCGAATATATCCCATAACTGGCCTTTACGGATGTATCGCCGATAAGAGAACCACCGACAGATATCCCCCGAAATTCGACCATATCATGCATTGTTTTCAAAATTCTAATACATTATTTATGCACGTATCTCTTGAGTGCTTTTCCCCTTAAACCTTATTGTACGCAGTTAGATTAATCAGTTACGGGAATTTTAAAATTCCCTTGCTGATTGTCCAAATATTCGAGTCATCAAGCGAATTACTGCTAAGTTAGGAGGTTTCCTCGAAAGTTAATTAGTAATCATCGAAAAGCCTAAGTAGACCATTGCTATAATAGCTTGTTATTGGTATAAGTTCTTATTATTGATCTGTTCTAGTAGCGCTTTCGCAAAGTGTCACCTTGTAGACCTATGAATAGCAATACATACCAAATTCCAAAGTTAAGTTCCCAGCAAATTGCAGAATGTTTGAGATGGCAAATAGTACGGAGAAAGTTTCGCAGAGGATACATCACCCAGACTCGAAGGCCGACGGGATCAGTGACTCTGTGCGCTCCCTGGACACTCGTGCTACGGAGTTCACAGAACCGGCATTGAGTCCGGCGGATTTGCCTGCCCGCAGCCGCAAGGCCTTCCTGCGGCATATGATTGGCCAATTGCCGGAGTCCGTGCAGAACCGAGTACGAGCACTCAAACAGAATCAGGTACAACAGGTACGCATTTCGGAGCAGTTTTTCCGGGAGGTTTACGAACTGGAACGACGTTTCTACGGCCAGAGCTGTGCCCTGTTCGATGCCAGACGGGATATCGTAGATGGCTTAGTGGAGCCACCTGTGCAAACGGAGACCTCCTGGCCCGAAGACACACACGACTCGATGCATCTGGACTTTGAGAACAACGAAGACTTGCGCCAGTTGAGGCTTAAATTGCCTCCAGTTTCGCCTAATACCTTGGGAGTTCCACGCTTTTGGCTGACCGTCTTCCAGAATGTTCCCCTTCTCTCAGAATTGGTTCAGGATCACGATGAGCCGCTGCTGGAGTGCCTGGTCGATGTGCGACTGGCTTACGACCAGGATAGCTACACGGTTAGCTTTCAGTTTCGGCCCAATAACTTCCTACACGATTCGTCGTTGGTGCTGACAAAACGCTACTTTCTGCAACATTCTGCGGACCAGGAGTATCCCTTTATGTTTGAGGGACCGGAAATAGTGCGTTGCGAGGGCTGCCACATCCACTGGCGAGATGGCTCCAATCTCACGCTCCAAACGGTGGAGAGCAGGCGAAGGAACAGAACCCGCAGCGTCACAAAGGTTATGCCTCGCGAGTCTTTCTTCCGCTTCTTTGCTCCACCGCAGGCTTTGGATTTGTCCCTCGCGGATGAGAAGACCAAGCTTATTCTGGGCAACGACTTTGAAGTGGGCTTCCTACTGCGCACCCAGATCGTTCCTAAGGCAGTTCTCTTTTACACCGGTGATCTGGTGGACAGCCTGAACGATGCCGCTGCAGACAGTCGATCCATGTCTTCCGAGGCGGAACAGGAGCAGGTCTTGTGAATAATTTCAGCCTACTTCCCATCACGTTGCTTAAAGATTGTAAAATGACAAAATTATTCGTGATTCATTAGTTATAAACAAAATTGTATTGTTTTTCCCCTAATCAATAATAATATGTACTTAAGCTAGGCAATTTAAGGCTACTTAAAAATACTGGTGTAGTACTCCTCCTCCAAGTCATACAGATCCATGGCCATTTCGTCCCTGAGCTTCATTAGCTTCTTGTCGCATTCACTTTGGGTGTTCCTAAACAATTGGGAATTGTTGGTGATGGCCTCATTGACCGAGTGAAAATCGTTTAGGATCAGGTACTGTTTCAGGTCAGCCACTAGCTTCATAAGGGACTCGCCAGCGCGAACTGGGGTATGGGATTTACATATATCAAGGCTTTGGGAAGTGTATGTAGAACTACTTACCTATGTTGGCGGCGCGGACCTGCATTTCCAGAGCATCCTGCTCGCACTGAGTGGTCTTTGAGATCTGACTGTGGCTTTCGCGGCGTGCCAGTTTGAGGATTTCTTTAAACGTATTACTGGTGTTAATATATACGGATATCTTTAGACCCATTTGTTTATATTTTACCCTCAAAGTTTTCCAGCATGCTGCGAACGTCGTCTTTCAAGCGCGCGTTGTAGGATTTTAAGAGCGCTTCCTTGGATTGAGGTAATATGGTTGAACGCGATCCGCTAGCCATCGTCCTGCTTCGCTTAAACAACGTTTTCTGATTTAAACAATTTCTAACAATGTTCTGTTTACGCGGAAGAAAAGCCAGTATTACCTCCTCTTGATTGCCGGCCTGTAGTGGTGGCATTTACTCGCGAATAACTATCGTGAGCTATAGGCTGCTGGCTACACTCCGTGGCTGGTCACACCATTGCGTTATCGATAGCCGATAACAGCTATATACAGATCTTTTGTTTTGTTGTATAAAAAACAAAGCGTAATTTGTGGAAAAGCGGGCAAGGATTATTTACAACGAGGACGACGGAGGATACTTCCGGCGTGTGATGCTTTAATGCTAAAGTCGATTAGTGGAGGCGTTGGCGTGGCATCCACGGAAAGAGGTGGTGGTGGTGGAGGAGGTGGAGGTGGAGGAGCAGGTGGAAGCGCGTCTGGAAGCAGGAGCACCAGCGGAAGTGGGCGTGCCAGTTGTGGGCTGGGCTCCAGTTCGATTTCCAGTGGGTTGAGTGCTGTGTGCGGATTTGTGACTGGCGGAGGAGGAGGAGGTGGAAGCTCTGACCGCGATCGGGACAGAGGGCTGGCCAATAGCAGTGGAGGGAGCACTCCTGCCGGGATTCTCTATTGCCCCGCCTGTGTGGCAGCTGCCAATCAGCAAAATCCCAGCCAGAACTCCAGTCCCCAACACGAGGGCTTCTTTTCGCGAAGCTCATCCAAATCGAGCAAACGGAACAAGGCCAGAAAGAGCGCCTCTACCGCCGGCTGCTTGGACGCCCAGCACATCCGGGCGAACCTTCGGATGTCCATGTCCAGTTCGATGAGGAGTACTCGAGGACATGGGGGAGGTGGATCAGCCTCCTCCTCGCATCCTCCAGGTAGTAGCTGTAGTAGCGGAGCTGGAGGATCTGGATGCGTAATGGCATACGACGTGGCTAGCAATGCCAGCAGTGGCAGTGGCAGTGGTAGTGGAAAGGCGGCTTCGCCGGGGAGTTACAGCTGCAATGCTCTCAACGTGGACTTCACATCCTACACAGCCACTCATCAATGGACTAGGATGCTCGAGTGCGCCGAGTTCGTGGGAGCAAAGTGAGTAGTGAAGCTAAAAGACAATGTATAATCATAAAAATATGAATAAATTCTTTTTCTCAGGCGAAGCAAGCACACGGTGGTGGCCTACAAGGATGCGATGTTCGTGTTCGGCGGTGACAACGGAAAGAACATGCTGAACGACTTAATTCGCTTCGGCGTCAAGGACAAGTCCTGGGGCCGAGCATGTGCCACAGGAACTCCGCCAGCTCCGCGGTACCATCACTCGGCAGTGGTGGCCGGCAGCTCGATGTTCATCTTTGGAGGCTACACCGGGGATATCCACTCAAATTCGAACTTGACCAACAAGAACGATCTTTTCGAGTATAAGTTTCAAAGCGCCATGTGGGTGGAATGGAAGTTTTCTGGACGCCAGCCGGTACCTCGATCCGCGCACGGAGCAGCAGTTTACGACAATAAGATGTGGATCTATGCGGGCTACGATGGTAATGCCCGTCTAAACGATATGTGGACGCTGAACCTCACAGGGGAGAATCACCAGTGGGAGGAGGTGGACCAGCTGGGCGATCGTCCGCCAACCTGCTGCAATTTCCCCGTTGCGGTGGCCAGAGACGCCATGTACGTCTTTTCCGGACAAAGTGGTTTGCAGATAACCAACTCGCTCTTTGAGTTCCACTTTAAGACGCGCACCTGGAGGCGCATTTCCAATGAGCCCGTCTTGCGGGGCGCTACCTCAGCTCCGCCCTCACGAAGATATGGCCACACGATGGTGCACCACGATCGGTTCTTGTATGTCTTCGGCGGATCCGCGGATTCCACGCTGCCAAACGATCTGCACTGCTACGACCTGGACTCACAAGTGTGGTCCGTCATTCTGCCGGAACAGAACTCGGACGTGCCCTCGGGTAGGGTTTTCCACGCCTCGGCCGTCATCTGCGATGCCATGTATATTTTCGGCGGAACCGTAGACAATAGCGTGAGGAGAGGCGACACTTATCGCTTCCAGTTCTCCTCGTATCCGAAGTGCACGCTGCGCGACGACTTCGGTAAGTTCTTCCAGGACAAACAGTTCTGCGACATCCAATTTATAGTTGGAGCTGAGGAGATTCGCATCCTGGCGCACATTGCCTTTGTGGCGGCGCGTTCGAAGTATCTGAGGAACAAAATATTGGCTGCCCGGGAGGCACGCCAGCAGCAAATGGAGAAGGTTTACGGGGTGGGCCAGGTGGATGCATTGGTACTGAATACAGGCGCGGGCGGGGACCGCGGACCAATGCTGGAGGTGCGACTGGCCCGAGCCTCCCCCGAAGCCTTCGACATCATTCTTAACTACATATACACCGATCGCATCGACCTGAAAGACACGTACAGCAAGAATATCATCATTCTGATCACGGATATCTACCAACTGGCTGGCTTGTTCACCATGCCGCGGCTGGCCCACGGCTGTATCCAGTATTTGGACTACAAGATCAACAAGCTCAATGTGTTGGAGGCGCTCTACAATGCGGACAAGAACAAGTAAGAGTCCCTTTTAATATACGTTAATTTAAAGTTAATCAATATCAACACTTTCCTCGATAGCATTAAGATTATCAAAGATCACTGCATGCAGTTCATCATCAAGGAAGAGAACTTCACCGAGGTGGTCATGTCCAGTGAGTTCAGTGACCTGGACAAGCCTCTTCTGGTAGAGATCATCCGCAAGCGTCTGCATCCCAGCAAGCTCGTGATGGACACCAGCTATGAGGCCAATATAGGTGAGATTATCGCAGTATTCCAAATTCCAATTCGTTTATGATAAAGCATTTTGTAAGCAGGAACCACTTTGGAGATTGATCTGTGCGCCTTCTTGGAGTCCACTGGCACCGATTTTTGCGACATAAGCCTCGTACTGGAGGATCATGTGATACCGGCCCACAAGTCGGTGTTGTCATCACGTTGTACCTACTTCCAGGGCATGTTCCGATCTTTTATGCCACCGGACAACACAGTCAACGTAAGTACATTTCTTTATTAGCTTGATTATAATCTAAGAGGTCTTAATGAGCTAAAAGATAACGTGAAATTAGAATAAGAAGTGTTTATCCTAAATAATATGTAATTTCACTATTCGTAGATCCAAATTGGTGAAATTTCACCCTCGCTCGAGGCGTTCCACTCTCTGCTGCGGTACATTTACTACGGAGAGACGAAGATGCCGCCGCAGGATGCACTTTATCTGTTCCAGGCGCCGTGCTTCTACGGATTGGCCAACAATCGGCTCCACGCTTTCTGTAAATACTCACTAGAGCACAACATCACGTTCGAGAATGTGCTGCAGACGTTGGAGGCATCGGACATCACCAAAATCTATGACATTAAGGAGTACGCCCTCAAGCTGATCGTCAAAGATTTTGCTAAGGTTGCGAGGCTGCCGAAGATTGACGGTTTGTCGCGCGAACTGTTGCTGGAGATCATACGCGCTGTGGCCGATTCGCACGGCGAGTTTCTCACGCGGATTAATATCAATACAGATATCTGAAAACTGGTGCTGCTCCAGCCGGCATTGCAGTTGTTGCTCGCCTGGTTGCAAATCGGACGTAGCACGTAGTGCGGCAGTAGCGGTTGGCAGCGCCGAACGACATAACCCATTCATTTTTAACCGATCCATCCCACACATCCATCGTTCACCCCTGCACTTGGTCAGCGATCCTCTATAGCTCCAGATGCCCTAACACGGTCCCTCTACAAAGGCTGCACGACTAAGAAAGAGAGAGAGAAAGCGGGAGGAGAACCAAATGTATTCCTATTGTTCTTGTAAACTGGTAACAGATGATGGCTCTCGGGCACGAAGCAGCTTGTGCAGCTGATCTACCGTATAAAACCTTATATATGTAACCCCTCAATGCACACTAGTATTAACCGCGAATGCACCTCCACTCCAATAAGTACGCTTGTACGAAAGGTCAAACATATAGTTGGACTTCTCTGTTTCGAGCCCATGCAAGAGTTTTGTTAAGGCATTCGAACCAGCACCCAGACTCTACAGTTCAAGACAGTTTTAGCTTACTTACCATTCAAGAGGTTCGACTACAACATTCGTCTATCCAAAGCTGGCTGACGAAACCTAAAATGAAGATGGTGAGTGTTGATTAATAACTTGAAAGTACAAAGAATAATCAAGATTTCTTGCAGAAGAAGCGCGCCTTTACTCTAACTCGATGAAACTAAATACATATTACGTATATGTTTGTTAACTTATGAATCAAATGGCCTTGCAAAGATGAACTAAACTGAGGAATATTAATCAGTCTGCATGCGTAAAATCTAGTTTATTTGCTTATACTTAAAAACTGTTTTCAAAGTACCTTTCCGTATGCCGAAGCGGGGTATATCGGATGACCTTTTTGCAAGGGTCCTTGTAGTCTCGGCAGTCCGAGGGTCTTCCTTTCATATACTCCTACCCAAGTACAACTTACTAGCTGATAAGGATCCAAATCTAATCGTTTGTACTCATATTTATCTATCTATGTATGTGAAAGCCGTAAGCTGAATGTTCTATGCTAAGGAACCCTTGACCTGGAACCACCTCATCCCTCATCCATGTGGAAAGTCACCTCGTAATGAGAAGGAACTCAAAGTTAACGTTTTTGCCAAATTTGGATGCGATTTTTTGATTAGCGTTTATACTTTCGCCCCCAATGATTGCCCCGAAAGTTCTTTCGACTTCGAATACATAGTATATATAATATATAGTATATCTTATTTTCCGAAATTGTGATAAATCAGTTCTTTTCTATGATTGTATTGTGACTACTCTTAAGCAATATTTTATAATTTTGAGCATTATTTGGAATATTTTCGTTATAGTTTCGTTTTTGTTGCCGCATGACGAGAATCCAGAATAAACAATATTATTATTATGATAAATGTACACATGCTAACTCTGTTTTCGTATGCCAAATTGGAAATCTTTGTGGGTTTCCGCAGAAACGAAGCACAAGCAAAATAATGGAATTAAGACAAACAAACTGGTCCCAGAGTTTTCGGCTGAGTTTCCCCGCAGCTAACCAGCTGGCTTGCCATAGATAATTTCATTTCAATGGAATTAAAACAAAACAAAGGCTGCACTCGACTGTCGGCTGTCAGATGTGGGAGCCACCAAAGGGGGGTGGAAACTGTAGCCGGTCGAAACTGTAGCCAAGGCCAGGACAAGGACGTTGCTTTGGGGGTAAGTCCTGCCCGGAGTCGCTTATCAAATGCAAATTACAAAATCAAATATGCCAACGGCAGTGGCAGCAGCAGAGGCAGCGGCATCGGGCTGGTAGGATCTTCTCTTCGAGATGGAAATGCCACTTACAGATACAACTGACAGTAAGCCGAATTGAATTGAATTGCCATGGTGGAGTCTGGGAAATTATTCGGTCATGTCCTGGCTCTTGGGGCTCTCCAGGTGGAGCTCATCCATCCAGTTTGTTGCATATTTATGAGGCCATTAGTGCCCGAAGTTCGAGTCCGAGTCTGGGTCCGACTCCTTCGCATCCTTGACAGTTTTGAAATGGTCAAGGTTTTACTTCAGATTAGTACTGCTCGGTGAGGGAATTTGTTGTGAATAATCGATTCGCTTATCGGGCATTTGCATATTTATCAGGAATAGGCTAAGGGGATCGATTAGTGGGATTACTTTCAGGATTTGAATTATTTTCGCCGACATAGAAAGGGTCTTGGTAGCACATACTTAAGGATCTTAAGACGGACTTTCCTTTGACTGCAGTTTTCAATATACAAAATGATCTTTAAGATTTTCTGTCTTCAAGAAGATTACTCTCATTGTAGTTTATATTGCTGGCACGTAGTCCAGCTTCCAATGAGCCAACTTTACTCTATAAATTCAAGGCTAGACATTTATGTATTTCTGGGAAAGGAAAGGAAATTCCTTAGACCCTTGTTAGCCCGTTCCTAACACTTGCTATCGCTTATCGTTTTCCAAACAAAATGTCAATTATCTGAGCTGGGAAAGGAGGAGGCGGCCGCCGTTAAACCCTTTGGCGAAAAATCTAGTTAAGACCTAACCCTCATTCCTTTGACAACAAAACAATCCCAGATCCCAGTTCCCAGTTCCCAGAGCCAAGAAATGCTCTACAGGCCGCTGTCAATTTATAAGTTCATAATTTAGGCCAACAAAGCCAACAACACAGATCCGAGTCAATCAGCTATATAATGCGTAGCCAATACGGACATGGAGGGTTAGGATTGGCTCGTTTCATGCTTTTTAATATCCGTTTCATCTGGATTTATGCGCATCAAGTTCACGCTGAGCGGCGTCACATAAATTTCTTGGCAATTCAAGCAGTTGAGCCGAAAAAGGCAACATTTCATGGCTGATGGACCTCGAGGTACCTATTAAACCTATTTCTAAATAAGGAAAGCCATAAAGATGATGGAATGGTAGTTCTTAAGCAATCGAAGATTATCTCCTGAGTGATGGAAGAATGAAGAACGACCAAAAGTCGAATATACCCTTAGACTCCAAACAAGCACTGAGTGTGAAAGTAAAAAAGGAAAGCGGGCGAAAAGGGAAAACTACACCCCTCGAAAAGGGTTAACTGAATGTGCGATGGGGGCTTCGAAAGTGGACTGATTTCGGGGTTAGCCCCAAAATTGACTTTTGGCATTTTTCAAAGTTTTTCCCGCATTGCCGGTTATTGATGCCGACCGTTGTGCGCCAACTTGGATTAATTTATAGCGATAAGTATTTGTATCCCAGCCAAGCTCCACGTTCACCCCCTGAACACCCCTACCCTTTGACTACGCCCCTGCAGCTGGATTCTCTTGCCACGCATAAAGTGTCATTTCAGCGGCTCTGATGCCTAATTAAAACCATCAATTTCGAAGTGAAAAGGGATTCGAGGATTGGCGGATTGCCGGAGGATCGGCGGAGGATTGGGCGGACTGCAGTGTGCAGGTGCAGCGTATATTAATTAAAAAAGCTCCTCCCCCGAAGCAGCCCATCCAGGCCCCTGTGCAATTGGAGTTTAATTGGCGCACAGACGACAGAGGTGAAATGGGGCAAGGTACGAGTATGCAAATAAATGGGTGAGCGAGCATCGTTAATACCCCCCTCTTTGTAAGAGCTGGCTGGTGAGCAGGCCAACTGCTTATATCCTGGAAATAAGTGATTCTTTCTGTAGTCTAGAACATAGTAGCAGTTTATGCATCTCCAGATCTGTAAGCCACGTCCAACCACGAATTCTTCAGTGATTCAGGAGAATGTTTCTGTAAGTTCACAGCTCCCACACCATCTGCTGTATCCCAACGAAGGACATATATCCGAAGGCATGCCATGTGGAGAGCAACGGACATGTCGGTGATGCAGCTGGGATGCTGGATGGGTTCTTCGATGTGATGGAAGGCAATAGAATCGGACACGAAACCTGAATTGGTGGCAGGTGTCACAAATGCCAATCACTTTGATGAAATTCTTTGAAGATAACCAAAGGAATGTCATGGGCTCCTCTTTCCAGGTGTAGGTAGGAAATCTGGTGGACGATAGTCTTAATTTCATATATGTTTTACCTGATTTCATGATAGTTAAAGGACTGGGCACACAAACAATAGAAGGAGCATTAACCTCATTTTCGAGTTCCCTACTTAACTGACTCCTTTCGAGGACACCGGGTCTTATGCAACGACTTTTGAATTATGTCAGCCATCGCCGGCGACCTTTGGCCTTTGGGTGCGGGTGGTGGGAATAGGCTGTAGGCCCGTAACCCTGACCTCGCCCTCACCCCTTTTCATATAATCGTCGACGCATAAATCTCAAGACCTGCCCGGCGGCTGCAATTTACGGCCGTGCCGTAAATTTTCATAAATGTCCTTGTAAATAAACTCGCAAATATGCTGATTTAGCATATTTCTGATATATGTGTGTCCCCATATGTCTGTATGTATGCGTACGGTGGGGGCGTGGCCCACGCCTGTGGTTTACGCCATGTGGTATGTGTGTGGCAGTTTTATTGCGGGGATTTTTTGTTTCTGCGCTTGCTGGGTATCAAATGGGTAATATTGGGCTAAGTTTGAAGCACTTCAGTTAGCTTCGGTTACTTTGATATGTTTATTGTCCAACAAGTATCCTTAAACTCGTAGAAGGGTTATGTCCTAGTCGATCATTGCCAACTCATAATCATTATAATCAAAGAAGTTACTGCAAGTTACTGCAAAGACAAATCCTTTTCTAGCGCATTCAACTAGTCGAGTTTGAATATTTAGACATTTGTTTTATGCTTTATTTAATTCTCCTTTGATTTCGTCCTTTTCTCCAGAGGGAGCCCCAAAAAGTCAAAAGCAAAAGAGGAAGCATTTCGTGATAAATAAAAAATGAAAATTTTATGTTGCATTAACTTCCGCTGGCATCGCTGAGTCGCATAAACAAAGGCATATGTGTAATAAAATTTATGCATATAAACAACCGATGGCAGCCCACAAAACCGGCAACAAGCAGCACAGAACAGGCAACAATGACAGACAATGAAAAGGGAGTTAAATATTTGATAAAGGAGCCGTAAAGTCGCCATAACGTTTCTGCCTGTGGAAATTCCCAGGATATTGGTTAGCGCTTGCCAATCGGAAATGCACCAGGCTTAAGGATAACAAGGATTTCATTATAAATATAGTAAGTGTAAGGATGTCAGGACTTTAAGAATGCATATTAAAGATTTTCCCATGGCTTTTCCTTGGATTTTTCCTCTGTTCTGTGTATGGGTGTGAGTGTGCTCTTGACACTTTCAATTTGCTGGCCATCAAGCAGCGAAATATGGATTACATTGTTAACGCTTTCGGACTGCGCAGAATAGTTCATAGTTCCTAGACAGAGAGAAAATGCAACAAATTGGAGGAAAATGCTTATTTTCATGACATTGTTCGAAGGACTTTCAGCTCATGCAGATTGCTGTGTATTTTTCCGTTTGTTAATGGCAAAACTTTATTGAATTTAGCAATAAACCACGAAAGTTGTGATACTTTCGACATTCAGAAACAAATAAAACAAGTACCCATGAGTTATTTCTCTGTGCGGCCCTGTGAAGCGAAGTCCCTTCCCTTTTGGACAGGCTCATTTGTCAGAAGCTCCTCCTCTCCAGCTCCTTGTTCCTTGCTCCTTGCTTCTCGGTTCCATAGATCTTGGGCATGCACATTGAACAAAGGGCGGAAGATGGCTGCAGGACTGCTGTTGCAGGAAAATTGAAATAGGAATTGAATGGGAAAAACAGCAGCTAGCAGTTAGAAGCGAAAAACCAGCAAACTAAGCTCGACTTGACTGTAAAATATGAAGCTGTGCTGCACAGAAAAACAGTTTCAGGAGTATTTAAATATACATATATATGTACATATATTAAAATTGAATTATTATTTCAATTCGATTAGTAATCAAGCCTCAAGCCAAGTATGTCAGTTTGATAGGATTTAAAAAACACTCTCAACGAGATATTCCTTTCCATATTTGGACCATTATAAGGACGTCTTGAGAAGAAAATCGTCATTTTTTGCGAAAAATAGATAAAAATTAAGATTTTTAGGTGTGAATGCAGTTTTGTTGGAATTTTAATTACGAATCCAACGAGGTATTGCATTCCGCATTTGGACAATTATTGGCCTAGTTATGGACCATAAAAATCCCATATTCCGTCCATTTTTGGTTTGTTTTTAAATGTTATGACATTGAAGAGAACATATGTAAATGAGAGAGCAGATCTTTGAAAGCTCCTTCTAGCCTCTCTTTCGCTACTCCGCTTGAGGTTCGCCATTCAGTTTTAGTTCAGCCGTTGCCGTTCCTAGACCTGCGCTCGTGGGTTGCAGTCATATATTAATTTGTTTATAAAGTGTTAACAATATATAAAATAATACCCAAGAAGTGATCGCTGGACTGTGATGTGAACT